GCTGGAACTGAAGAAACCTCACTGCGTTCTTGAACTAGGGTTCTTGACCTTTTTCTCCTTCTTGATTCTAATTTTCTAAGTTTTGATTAATGATTTTGACCAAGGTAAGTTCTAATTATGTTTCTAGGCTTAAACTGATTAAAACCTCATGATTTAGGGTCTAAACGACGTATCTTAGGGGTTAAATGAAATAGGAAAAGACCAAAAGACCCCTGAATTAGCTGCTGTCGGAGTGACTGACGGACGGGACTGACGGTCCGTCAATCAATCGACGGTTCGTCTATTGGGTCCGTAGGTCGAGTCTGCCCGACAGGGCTTCACTAAAACGGGCATAACTTTTTACTCGGAGGTCGGAATTTAGCAAACTCGGTGGCGTTGGAAAGATAATTCAATTATATATCTAACCATAGGTCATGGGACACATAATTCGTTTTGTGCTAAAAGTTATGACCATCTGAAGTTGACCCATAAATAATTTTCAGCTAACTGGCTGCTAATCCTCATCTACGGTCAGACCTACGGACCGTGGATCAATTGACGGTCTATGCTGGTCGACCGTAGTTTGTGTCAGAGGCTGGGTAAGGGAAGTCTCGATCCACGGACACAGACTACGAACCATTGTCTGATCTACGAACCGTGGGTCTGTCCGTGAGTCGGGACTTAGCCAAATTTTTTGACTGAGTTCTGGGGAAGTTTTCTATCACAAACCATGGACCTGCAGGACGGACCGTGAGTCCATCTACGGTTCGTGAATGGTGTCCGTGAGTGCCACCTGTAACACCAGAAATCTGAAATCTCTATTTTTGGATACGGGGTGTTACAGCTAGGAGACATGGAAATAGCAAGGCTTATGATCCATGCGCATAAGGTTGAAGAGAATAAGCTGAGACATAGAGAAGAGTTCCGGAACAAAAAGGCTAAGACAATAAGAAATGAGTTCGGACAGCAGAAGTGTAATGCGAACCGATCATCTTTTCAGCAAATTTCAAATGAACTTGTTCCATCATCTGCTAGTGTACCTGCACCAAAGAATAGAGGTGAGTTCAAGAATGAGAATTCTCAGAACTTTAGAGCTAGACCTGCACAATCTCAAGTTAGTGTGGCACAAAGAGGTAATTGGACTCCTACATGTTCTAAGTGTGGTAGGAACCACCCAGGAGCATGTTGTGATGGCTCCACTGGTTGCTTCAAGTGTTGTCAGAATGGTCACTTTATGAGAGAGTGACTTAAGAACATGCAGGGTAGCGGGAATGGGGGGAATAGAGCCCAATATTCTTTAGTGGCTCCGCCACACAGAGTTGCACCTAGAGGAGCTACTTCAGGGATAAGAGGATCAAACTGTTTGTATGTTTTGACAAGTCTCCAAGAGCAAGGGAATTCACCTGATTTTGTCACTGCTATGATGAAAGTCTTTACTTTTGATGTATATGCATTGCTAGATCCAGGTGCGAGTATATCTTTTGTGACTCCATACATTGCTATGAATTTTGAAATTATTCCTGATAAACTTCTTGAGCCCTTCGGTGTTTGGACACTTGTTGGTAAGTCTGTTCTAGCTAAGAGAGTTTATTGTGATTGTGTTGTTTCTGTCAATAACAAGGACACCATGGTTGACTTAGTCAAGTTACATATGGTGGAATTTGATGTTAATCTAGGAATGGATTGACTTCATGTTTGTTATGCCTTAGCTGATTGTAGAACTCGAGTTGTAAAGTTTCAGTTCCCTAATGAGTCTGTTATAGAGTGGATGATTAGTTCAGTAGTGCCTAAGGGTCATTTTATTTCGTAGCTTAAGGCGAGAAACTTAGTTTCAAAGGGGTGCATCTATCACTTAGTCCGAGTTAATGACTGTACTTATGAGACACCACCTATTTAGTTTGTTCCAGTTGTAAGTGAGTTTCTAGAAGTTTTTCTAGATGATCTTCCCGGAGTCCCTCTTGAGAGTGAAATATACTTCGGTATAGATATTCTTCCTGATACTTGACCTATCTCTATTCCTGCATATAGCATGGCTCTTACTGAGTTGAAAGAGTTAAAAGAGTAGTTGAAAGACCTTGTTGGTAAAGGTTTCATTCGACCAAGTGTCTCACCTTGGGGAGCTCCGGTCTTATTTGTGAGGAAGAAAGTTGGTTTTCTTAGGATGTGTATTGATTACCTCCAACTGAACAAGGTTACTGATGATTCCACAAATTGGACTCATTTAAGGCTTTATTTTGATAGAAATATTGTCCTTAAATGCTTATTTTGTCTCAATATCTGATGAGAACTCTTAAGTTTCAGGTATTTGAAGTTTTGCCGGAAGCATGAAACTTAGGCGCAAAAAGGAACCAAAAAGGCTGAAAAGAATGAAGAAGTTGAAGCCTGCATATTATTTTGATAGAAATAGTATCCTCAAATGCTTATTTTGTCTAAATATCTGATGAAAACTCTTAAGTTTCAGGTATTTGAAGTTTTGGTGGAAGCATGGACACTTAGGCGCAAAAAGGAACAAAGAAGGCTGAAAAGAACGAAGAAGCTGAAGCCTGCATATCGCCAAGCACACTTGGTGACTCGCTGAATGGATGCACTCCTCTCTTTATTCCAGTACGCAAATCCCTAAAGGAGAAGGATAAAAAAGGCGATGGAAGGACCAATCGGCGTTTCGCCGAATAGTTCCACGAAGTAGTACTATACCTCCCAATGATATAGAGCACGACGATGCTGAAGGCTAGTGCAAGACAACAACAAACAACATTAAAGGGAGAATTGCCGAGTTAATCGGTGATTCCGACTAACCTCGCTGAAAGATTGGCCAACACTATTTTCTAAAGTCTATAAATACTAAACTTGTTATTAATTTTTAAATAGTCGAACATTAATTTTAATATCCAGAATAGAATACTACTTTTTTGATATTTTCTCTCATGTTTGGAGAGGGTTTTGGGAGACTTGAAGAAAGAAGAATTTCATCTTCCCCAAGTTGGAAGGGGTCTTCTCCATTCTTCTTCCTTTGCTTAAATCAAAGTTTAATTTCTTAAGGTCATTTGATTTTAGTATCATTTTAGGTGTATTTTATTATTTCTTGATGTGTGGCTAAAAATGCCCATTCTTGGGGTGTGATTTAGCAAATATGTGATGACTCTTGTTTGCTGATAGGTTAGATGTATTTTAATGGTGATTTCACCTAGTGGTTGTGGTTTAATTTAATGGGTTTGTAGTTGCAAATAAAAAAACCACCCATGTGTTTTCGGCTTACTCAGGAGGGAGGTCGCAAAACCAAGACCGCTAGACTGATGGCCTAAGGAGTGGGTCGACATGAGGTTCAACCCGATAGGGTGAGCCCTAGTCCCATATCCTAACACTCAGCTCGAAAGAGTGAGTGGGGTAAGGCATAGGCTGGCCTTCATGCAGCAAATGGGTGTCCGAGAGGAACACATTTGAAACGGGGTAAGTTGCCCAAGAGGGAACATATTTCCATCTAAAGCTTAGCCTAGTCACTATTATCTTGCAAATTTCCTATCGAAGGCATGTACCCAAGGATTTATCTCAAGTTGTATTGCGGTCACACCCCAAAAACTTGTCCTCATACTTGATTTTCTTGTTATTTTTGCTATTTTTTTACTACTTGCGACAAAACTCCCATGTGATATTTGACAACTTTGTGTTACCCCTTTTAATTTACAATGTTTTTAATAGTTAATGTCTTTAGCTACGACTAGTTAGAACTAAATTTTATTTTTCTATCAATTCTCAAAACCACTCCCTTGGGACACAACCCCAACCATTAGTTGGGTTACTATATTATTGACGATCGTAGACACTCATACCTTAGGTTAGTGTCGTTGGTCACGATAAGCATCAGTTTACTATAAAGAATAAGTATCCCCTTCCGAGAATTGAAGATCTTTTTGATAAACTTAAGGGTGCCACAGATTTTTCTATGATAGACTTCAGATCAGGCTATCATCAGTTTAGAGTAAGAGAGAGTGATATTCTAAATACAACTTTCATGATTCGCTATGGTCATTATGATTTTATAGTCATGTCTTTTGGTTTGACTAATGCTCTTGCAACGTTAATGGATCTTATGAAAAGAGTATTTAAGCCTTATGTTGATGTGTTTTTTTTATTATATTCATTGATGACATTCTGATTTATTCGAGGAATAAGGAAGATCGTGCTAGTCATCCTAGAGTAGTTCTTCAAACTCTTAGAGATAGAGAGTTTTATGCAAAATTTTCCAAGTGTGAGTTTTAGCTTGAGTCAGTGGCGTTCTTGGGCCACACTATTTCTGGTGATGGTATACTAGTTGACACTCAGAAGATTGAAGTAGTGCGGAACTGGCCTAGACCCACATCTCCAAATGATATTAGGAGTTTCTTGGGATTGGCTAGTTATTATAGAAGGTTTGTCGATGGGTTTTTATCTATTTCATCACCGCTGACAAAGTTGACTCAAAGTTTCAATGGTCTAAAGCTTTTGAGAGAAGCTTTCAGGAATTGAAAACGCAGTTGACTACTGCCGTAGTGTTGACCTTACTGGAGAGTACACGAGGCTTGGTTGTTTATTGTGAAGCATCCAAAGTTGGACTGGGTTGTGTATTGATGCAAAATGACAAAGTTATAGCTTATGCCTCCAGACAAATTAAGATTCACGAGAAGAATTACCGAACCCATGATCTAGAGTTGGCTGTTGTAGTGTTTGCTTTGAAAATATGCCGTCACTTTCTCTATGGTGTTCATGCAGACGTGTTCATCGATAACAAGAGTATTCAGTATGTGTTTAGTCAGAAAGAGCTTAATCTTAGACAGAGGAGGTGGTTGGAGTTACTCAAGGATTATGACATAAATATTCTCTATCACCTAGGTAAGGCTAATGTTGTTGTTGGTGCCTTGGACAAGTTATCTATGGGCAGTACTTCCCATGTTGAGGAAGGCACGAAAGAATTAGATAAGGATATGCATAGACTTGCACGATTGGGAGTTCGGTTAATGGATTCCAATTAAGGAAGAGTACTAGTGATGAATGTGGCTAAATCATCACAAGTGTCAGAAGTGAAAGAGAAACAATATCAAGACCCTGTTTTGCTTGAATTGAAGGCAAATATTGATAAGCTGAAAGTGCTAGATTTTGAACAAGTGGGAGATGGTGTGTTGAGGTATCAAGGTAGATTGTGTGTACCAAAGGTGGATGAACTCCAAGAGAGGATCATGGATGCTGCTCATAGATCCAGATAATCTATCCATCCTGGTTCCACAAAGATGTATAGTGACTTGAGAGAATTCTATTGGTGGAGTAGTACGAAGAGGTGTACTCTAGAGTTCGTTCCTAAGTTAGTAGGTTTGCCAAGAAGGGGAAGCTTAGTCCTATACCAATGTTAGGAGAAGAGACTTGGAGTTTGAGGTGGACGATTGGGTTTGTTTGAAGGTTTAACCTATGAAGGGTGTTAGTAGGTTTGCCAAGAAGGGGAAGCTTAGTCCCTGGTATAATGTCCCTAAAAGGATATCTAAGAGGATCGGGAATGTAGCCTATGAGTTGGAGCTACCGCCAGAGTTCGAAACTGTCTATTCGGTGTTCCACATTTCAATGTTGAAGAAGTTTATGGGTGATCCTTCACTTATAGTACCTAGTAAAATATTGGTATTAAGGACAACCAATCTTATCAGGAGATCCCCGTAAAGATACTTGATCGACAGTTTCGCAAGTTGATAACCAAGGAGGTAGCATCAGTTGAGAAAGCTACTTGGCCTGCTGAGGAGGATATGAAGAAGAGATACACACTTCTCTTTCCTTCCTGATAAATTGCACACCAAGGTAATGACATTCTGTAAAACACTCTTTAAATTGATATATTATGTTATGTTAATTACATGTTGGGTGTTTAAGCTGGGTGTTAGATGCTACCACCATTAGTCTACTTAGAGTGATCTCATTCGAGGACGATGTTCCCAAGGAGGAGATATTGTAATACCTCGGTATCAGGAAGAGCTATGTTTAGAAATAACTAAATTGGAAAGAGCCAAATTTAGAAATTTGCAAGTTATGCTTAAGTTGTGAGTTTTGGGTCAACTTCAAACGGCCATAACTTTAATTACAGGATGAGTTAGGTGGCACATAAGATATCAAATGAAAGATATTTGAATCCTCATTCCCACGCCACCGAGTTTGCTAAATTTTGAGTTCGGATGAGGCACATATGCCTATTTGAAGTCAGCCTTTCCAGTTAAGGAAATTTACCTGAAATAATGAGAGGTATTTTGGTCTTTTCCTGACCCCATCAGCTTTAAACATTTATAGTAATATTTTATGGGTCTAAACTGATATTTTTGGTTTTCAAAATTCTAAAATACGCTTTGGGTTTTGAGAGGATTCAGGAGAAGGAAGCACGGAGGAGTTCAAGCTTTCGCCAAAATTTCTTGTGAATCAAGGATTTGTTTCGCAAAATTAAGGTATGTAAGTTTTCATAGTGTTGGGTTCGGTCACCCACACGCCAATCATGAGTTTCTTTTGCAAATTTCATCCATTAGATAGTAAATATTAAGTTCTTGATGAATTCTTGCAGATGAGTTTCTTGAAGTTAATGTTTCATTCTTTGATACGAGGTTTCGTTGAGTTCTTCTGATGTGGATCTTGTATTTGAGTATTGTTTTTGAGTAATTTAGAGTGGATTTCGTTGTAATTATTTTGGATCGAAGAATTCGAAAGAGTTTGAGGGAAATCATTCAATTCCAGGGGAATTAAACATGAATTTGAAGCAAGAAAATTCGTCAAAACCCGGGTATAGGGGTGGGGCTTTGCGCCATCCAGTACGCTCTAACCTACTTTTAGTAGGTTGGGACCTGGTGCACCGTGCAACTCAGTCCGTCAAAACCCACCTTCTGTAGTTTGGGGTATAGCACACTGTGCCCCTCAGTGTGCCAGGGTCGCCATGTCAGCTACCATTCTGTCCTTCTTTCTGGGTGCATTCCCTAGAATCGTACCTATGTTTTCTACTTGATATCCACACTTAAACTATTCATTTAATTTTGAGAGATTATGCATACCAAAGTCATAACTCCTGAATTTATAATTCAAATTCAAGATAGGGTTAAGAGTAGAGTCGAGGAAGTTCTTTGAGTCAATTGAGAAGTCTTTTTGCAAAACTTTTAAAACTTGATTTAAGACGTGAGTACTTTAGTATTTGGATGAGTACATTAAGTTTCATTTGTCAAAATGAATATATGGGTACTAAGTATTCCCAGGAGTAAACATTTTTACATTTAAAATGAGAGGAAACAACGATTTTCAAATGAGTTCATGAGGAGTTTTAAGTACTATCTCTTTTGAGATAAACCTTTTGAGTAATAATCTCAAAGTTTGAGGATGGGAAATGTTTTTGAACATATGATCTGAGTTATATTATTGGGAGTAGTATTGAGTACCGATATTGTGACGAGTTCTAACAACTCAAAGTCCTTATAAACCATGTAGCCAACATGGGTAGAAAGGGTCATACTTTTTAGATGATTCCTTATTTCTTTTGAATCATAGCTTAGTGGATCCCATTTGTTGAGGATGTCTTATACTCCGGCAAGGTATATGATAGTTCTAGCAGCGTGGGTGGGACATTGTATCATCCCATAGCTCATAGTGATGGTTGTCGGTTAGATAATCTCCCAAATAAGAGTAATTATGGCATTTTTAAATATATTGAGTTGTTATCTACTGTTTTAAACGTTTTATATAAACTGCATCTTTATTGTTATTTTTATACTATATTGAGTTTAGTAGTAGTAGTAGTAGAAGTAGTAGTAGTAGCAACAACAATGGTAGTAGTGGTAGTTTTTATAGTATTGGTAGTATTCGTTGTAGTAGTGGTAGTGGTAGTCGTGGTAGTGTTCGTCGTAGTGGTGGTAGTGGTAGTGTTAGTGGTAGTGGTAGTGATAGTGGTAGTAGTAGTGGTAGTAGGAGTGGTAGTAGGAGCGGCGACAGTAGTAGTAGTAGCAACGGCAGTAGTAGTAGCGGCAGTAGGAGCAGGAGCAGCAGCGGCAGCGGCAGCAGTAGCTGGAGTAGTAGCAGTAGGAGGAGCTGGAGAAGCAGCAACAGGAGTAGCAGTAGTTGTAGTAGTAGCAGTAGGAGTAGCAGTAACAGTAGTAGTAGAACAATTATTAGCAAGATCACTTGTTAATGATTTACATACCACAATATCTAAAATTTACATGTAACATGTGACTGTTCTTATATGTTTGCAACATTTAATTTTGTTTTTTTTTTAAAAAAAATCATAAGTAACTTTTGGTGTTTTTTTTCTTATAGCAAGAGGACAGCCTATATCGAATAAGTGAGAATACGTTACAAAATAAGTGAACAATATTGATCTTCCTGACCATCTGATTTAAGAAAACAAATTCCAATTATTTTTTTTGAAATTTTATTATACGTCCAAATTCTACTCCAACAATTTAACTATATGTCAATATTTTGTAACTTGTAGCTGGGCTTTTACATATTTGTACCAAAAAGGATCACCACAATATGTATAACATTAATTTCACTCTTTTCTTTCAAAATTTTTGAATTTTAATTTGGAGCAAGTATTGAAGAGATTTTATTTTATTATAAAACAGTTGTCAATATGAACTTTGAATTTTATTTATGGAAAAAGTTCAAAATTATCCTTAAGCTGTAGAATTGAATAAAAATCTTCATTATTTATAGTTTGATGCAAATATGTCTTTATTGTTAATTGTTTAGTCCAAAATTATCGTGTTGGTTGTATTTTGCCTAAATAATATTCCTATTATTAGTTGTTTGTGTCAAAATTACCCTTTTCGTCATTAATATAGTATTTTTTTATTTTCTGAATACATTCTTTTTTCAAAATATATATATGTATATATTGAAATAACCCCTTTTTTGTAATCATGTTACATGGAAAAGTTAATCTTATTTAATCAAGTTCTTGTATTACTTCATTTTCATCATCATTAATTTTTTAGGGCTTAAAATGACTTCACCCCACTCGAAAAACTAACAATCATTTGTGTCAGTAAGATTGCCAAAAACCTTTCTGACGCTAGTGTGTGTCAAGATCCAAAATATAAAGGGTCATAATAACATCTACATTTATCTTCTGATAGGTATATCAAATCCCTTCCAAAGTAGAATCAAATAATCATGTAAAAATGAAGGAAAAGTGAAAAGAAGTTATAACTTAGATTTCATTAAGTATATAAATATAGAAAATACCAATTAAACCCCAATACCCGATATCATGTGTACAAGAGCGACTAAAAACTAAATATGATTGTTTCAGTACCAATACATTGTATGAAATGATAACAAACTGAAATAAAGGATATAGGGAGTATGGTGCCACAAAATCGTTATGGAGCTCACCACAAAATCTAAAAATAACTACTAGAGCACATATATTGTTCCTAGAGCACAATCTGCATCAAAAGACATAACATATTTGTAATATGAGCACAAAAAACATGTGTACTAAAAAGTATCATCGACCGATGAAGATGTAGTTCAAACATTATATCATATAAAATATGAAATGTAACCCAACTAAGCCATCAACTTCTAAAATATTAATTGAGAGACAAGGGGCATCTAAGTAAAACTCACGTTATAAGCAATTTATATAAAGCTCGAGTACGAAAAAAGTATGACTTAAGTATAATACAAGGTAGTGCCATGATCATATGATTCTACCAATATACACTTATTTGTACTGATGGCATGTTGGACGTCAAGACACATGGAAACTCAGGATGTTCATGTAACTGTTAAAATAATTTTTCCTCGAATATCACATGATAACAGGTACTTGGAACGATTTATCTTCTACTTACCAATAAAAAACATACCTGAAATCATTTCCCTTTAGCTTTTCAATTAAAAATCAAGTACCCAAAATCATTTTTTCTTTGAATTTTATTACTCTATGAGTACATCATACCATACCCATGATTCATGAGAAATAAATTTGAATGTTAACATGCAACTTAATAAGCATATCTCTTTCAAAATAATGCCCATAAGCAACTATAACTCATTACGGTACAATATAACACACAAATTAGAGTGATGCAACATTACAAAAAAAAATCAAGTCATATAATGTCTATCAACTAAATCCCAGCCTACGTTGAACACATAAAAGTCATTCTTTCGAACATAGAATAAACAAACACACCCAATTCATAACATATTTACTTGATACAATAAATCAACCCTATGAAAGATATAAGAGAGTAATCCATAACTACCACGTAAACCGAGCAAACATGACATAAACCCTTGCAAATATGCCTTTTTTAATAGTCTAGATGTCACAACCCTGACCGCGGTGATTGGCACCCATACTAACCATCTGGTGGGAGAACCACTACAATAACCCGACTAAGCAACTTAAGGAAACTAAAACATTTAAAGATACGAAAGCAGGTTTAAATGACGAGTTTATATAGGATTGTAACAACATAATCCTTGAGTAACTCCATCCACGTTCTCTGTCTCAGATTATGGTTCTTCTGGGTGAATACATGTTGTAGACTACGATGATCAGTAAATGCCTCACACTTGACACCATAAAGGTAATGCCGCCATATCTTGAGAGCAAATACTAACGCTGCTACCTTCAAGTCATGCGTCTGGTAGTTTCTCTCATGCACCTTCAGCAGCCGCTATGCATAAGCTATGACATTTCTTTCTTGCATCAACACAACACCCAAACCCAAATGTGAAGAATCATAATAAACAATAACATCTTTACCTTCCACCGGTAGTGCCAAAATAGGTGATGTGGTCAGAAGAGTCTTGAGATTTCGGAAGCTCTCTTCACACTTGTCAGTCTACTTGAAAGGCACCTCCTTTTGGGTCAGCCTTGTCGAATGCGTGGCGATAGAAGCAAATTTTTTCACAAACCGCCGGTAGTAGCTGGTGAGTCCCACGAAACTGCTAACTTCCGTCACAGAGCTAGGCCGGACCGAGTTCTTGACCGCTTCGATCTTTTGGGGATCTACCATTACCCCTTCCCTTGAAACCACGTGCCCCAAAAAGGCAACTGAAGTCAACAAGCACTCACACTTGGAAAAATTTGCATACACCTTCTATTTTCCAAGGATACCCAAAATAATACTAAGGTGGTCGGCATGCTCTTCCTTACTCTTCGAATACCAAGATGGTTTGAACACCCCATTCATCAAACTCATGAAGGTTGCAGGCGTATTGGTCAACCCAAACGACATCACTAAAAACACATAGTGCCCATAACGGGTCCTGAATGCCGTTTTGGGTACATCCTCATATCTAATCTTCAACTGATGGTAACTAGAACTTAGGTCAATCATAGAGAAAACCATGCACCCTGCAACTGGTCAAAAAGATCATCTATCCGAGGTAACAAATACTTATTCCGGATGTTGACCTTATTCAACTATCGATAGTCTATGCACATCCTCATACTGCTATCTTTTTTCTGAACAAACAAGACCGGAGCATCCCACGCGGATGCACTAGTATGGATTAAACCTTTATCAAGAAGCTATTGGATTTGAGGTTTAAGCTCTCTCAATTCTGCTGGAGCCATGAAATAAAGAGGAATGGAGATGGGGCGAGTGCCCGGTTCCAAGTCAATGCCGAAATCTATATCCCTATTCAAAGGCATACCAGAAAAATCGGTAGGAAACACTTTCTTGAATTCAGACACTACATGAATAGACTCAATAGAGGGAGACTCAGCAATAACATCCCGAATATGAGCCAAAAATGCCAAACATCCCTGCCCCACTAGTTTCATAGCTCGAAGAAATATATGAACTTGGCTAGATTAGGCTTGTACACCATTTCTCACTCTAACCTTTCCCTACCTGGGATCTCTAGAGTCACAGACTTAGCATTACAATTAAGCACATCATAATAGGGGGACAACCAAGTCATGTCTAGTTAAGATTATATCAAAGTAAGTCATATCCAGAATAACTATATCAGCCTAAGTCTGAAAATCCATAAACAGGATATCACAAGCATGATAAACATGGGTGACTATGACAGACTCTCCAACCGGGGAAGAAACATGGATAGGGGAATCGAGTACATCATAAACCACACCAAATCCCAAGGCAGATACACTCATACCACCTTTCTATAAGGCCATGAACTCATCATTCTTGCGATCCCTCAAAGTCCAGTGCACATACTTCTCCAGAAACAAAGCATGTAACTTGGTCTAAGTGAGTGAGGGCAAGACTAGAGATCTTAATTCCACATAGGCCCTCCACCAGTGCTTAGCCTCACCTTGAAGCTGGAAGATCACAAACTCTCCTCCATGTTGGTCTACAGTGCCTAACTTGTGAAGCCTCTCATAGAAATCCAAAATTAACTCATAGGCATCCTCACTCTCAGAGCCATGGAACACAGGCGGCTTCAGCTTCAAAAACATAGTCAACATATCATGCTCAGTACTAGTCATCGTATGACCCAATAGGGGACTGAAGAAGGCATCAATCCCTAATTCTCCATCAATCCTGGGAACAATAGCGGCAATGGGGAGGTTGACTGGAGGTTGTGCCGCTTGCATTCTGGGAATGACTCCAGGGCCGACCAATCCCTTCAGAGAAGTCATGATCTACTGAGCTATCAATAAGTCTAAGGGAGGAAGACTTGTAGATTTAGCGTGTGCACCCTCATCTGGTCCAACATCCTCTTCGATCTCCACATTCTCTTCTACCTCTTCGTGTTGTGCAGGAATGGCCTCTTTCCTGGGAACATTCTTAATTGGGGCTTCACCCCTAGTGGGTGCTACCCTTCCTCGGCCTCTGCCTCTTCCTCTACCTCTATCCCTGCCTCGACCACGACAACTTGTTTCCATCTCCTCCGCTGGCTCATTGATGAGAGCTATAGGCCTGACATCATTGTATCGCGTGCTAACCATCTACAGACAGAAGTGTGAAAGAGATTAGATCCAAATTTGGATCACAAGATACAAATTCGAATCATGTCATAGCACGAAAGGAGAAAAAGACAGAGAGATTTCCTAAAGTCTTGTAGCCTCTCAAAGAAAAGTAAAGACGTCACGACCCCGACTGCCGTGATTGACACCCATACTAAACCTCCGGTGGGAGAACCATTACTATAACCCGACTAAGCAACTTAAGGAAACTAAAACATTTAAAG